GGGTTTAGGGGTTTAAGGGTTTAGCGGTTTAGGGTTCAGGGTTTAGGGTTTAGGGTTTAGGGTTTAAGGGTTTAGGGGTTTAAGGGTTTAGGGGTCTAGGGTTTAGGGTTCAGGGTTTAGGGTTTAAGGTTTAATGGTTTAGGGGTTTAGGGTTTAGGGTTCAGGGTTTAGGGTTTAGGGTTTCAGGGTTGAGGGTTTAAGGGTTTAGGGTTTAGGGGAAGCAAGGCCTCGGGAAGAGAGAGAGAGAGAGAGAGATTCGAGCTTCCCAGGCCGAGTTTGGGGCCAGATATTCAGCGACGCAGCCGGTTTCTGTATGACCTCGATGGTTTTGGCGAACCCTAAACCCTAAACCCTAAACCCTAAACCCTAAACCCTAAACCCTAAACCCTAAACCCTTACGGCAAGAGTGCACGTCAGTCAAGGGCCGGGCTTGGCCCTCCATGACGTCGGTCGCAGCTACGTGCTCGGAGTTTTGAGCCAATGAAGACGGTTTACGGGTTTACGGGTTTAGGGTTTAGGGTACGGTATAAGGGTTTAGGGTTTACGGGTTTAGGGTTTACGGGTTACGTGTTTAGGGTTTAGGGTTTAGGGAACTTTCCAGACAGATCATCATTACTCTCAAACCTCCACATGCTTCCACTTGGCCATGTCGGGTCCACGCTGCGAGGCATCTATTTCGACACATGCCGAGCCATTCTCTTCGCCCTACACGTGTGTGAAACAAGATAGGCCAAGATCCTCGTAGAAAGCTGTTCCCACAGAGCTACATGGCAATTCGACTAAGACAATGAGCTTGGCAACATCCATTCTCGGCCCGAATCTCGCCTGCACGACATAGAATGTCCTCAGGACATACCGTCTTGCACCGGCTTCAAATAATCTCATCCAGCCATGCATGGCTGACAAACTGAAACCCGAAACCCCTAGACCACGCTGGCGATGTGCTCAAGCTGCGCCTGCCGGCGAAAGCGTGCAGCGAATCTTCGAAAGAAGAGGGGAGACACCCGCAGATCGAGGGTTAAGGGGCTTTAAGGTTTTAGGGGCTTTCGGGTTCAGGGTTTAGGG